TACTTGCCATTACAAGCCAGAATTATGTCTTCCTTCCTAATTAGCTGCCTCAATCGTCCTGATTCCTATGAGGATCTGGGTGGAGGAAGGAGCCAGCACAAGGGGTGTGTCTCCCTGATTTCCAGATTCCCCAAGTAGTAGCTGGTTTACACCCTCATTAGCAGTTGAATGTAATGACATATGGATGGAGGGGGAAAAGCTGATGGAAGCCCAGAATCAATGTTTGCACCCTGGAGCTAAATTATTTATACACATAACGTTATAGGTTTCACCTCAGTGGCTTTTATTAGCATTTAGCAGATAAGAAATCATACCTGACCTACTTGTACAAACCCTTCTCGTGCCTCTCTGCAGTGACAGCTTGGTGGGAAGGGGTGAAGGTTCTCAGCCCAGCTGTGGGGATGCTTGAGCACTGGGAGAAGCAGTGGAGGGAGAAGGCACCTCTCAGCACCTCTGACAAGGCATTTTACTACTTTAGATTTGAGACCAAACATGCACGAGTGGGTTATTTTTGAAAAGTCTTGCAAAACCCTGGCTAGACCTGTCTCTTGGAGGATGCGGCTCTGTGGGTTTCTCCTGGGACTGTGCCCTATCCCTTCCCCAGCAAAGGAGAGATGCACTTCCCAGCGAGGCACCACGAGACACAGGTAGGTTTTGGGGGGAGACGGTTCCTCTCCAGGAGGGGTGGCTACCTCAGGACCCCCTATCCCCAGCCCACTCTGACACCACAGTGTGTTTCCCCCAGAAGGCTCACCCAGCCATTTCCAAAGCAGCACGTCACAGGCACTTGAGATGACTTTCTTCTTGCCTAATGCATTTTTTATAAAGCCCAGGCTCCAGTTTCCTTTCATGTTACCAGGAGGATATCCTCTTTCCTCTTAGACTTCAGAAGGATTTTTTCACCCAAAGTATTTATCTCTAGTGTCCTATACCCAGGTCAGGGGGACACACTGGCCAAACAACCTGGTGAGGATGCTGAAGCTCAGCTGGGGCCCACATGTGGGTGCTGGCAACTGCACCTGCTCCAGCATGAAGCTGCTTCAACAGGTGAAACTGCAACCTTGCAGGAGTCCCTGCTGCTGACTTTGCAGCACAGGTGAGATTTAGTGCCTGGTAGACCCCAGCACACAGCAACATTTCTCACTCCTAATTGTATCTCAGAGACGGGAGTTCCACTTAACATTGCAGATAATTACATATTAACCTGCCCCTGTTTAAAAAAGAAACAACCAGCCAAACAGAGCCATTCCTTTTGGGGATGACTTGCAGACAAGGTGAGTGAAAATACTTGTTTAATGAAGAATGGGTTTGGTCCCTGAAGATGGGAGATCCCTCATGATGTGACTGATGAATTGCATTGAGATCCAAAGCCAGTTTGTGGGTAGGTGGACAGGGCTAGGAATCACTGTTGGCTTTGTCAGGCAGATGGAGTGGAACCATGTGAACATCACGAGGTTCAACGAGGCTAAAGTCCTGCACACAGGTCAGGGCAACCTCCATTATCAGCCCTGAGGAGAAGGACTGAGGGATACTGGTGAATGAAGAGCTGGACGTGAGCTGGCAATGTGTGTGCACAGCCCAGAAAGCCAACTGTGTCCTGGGCTGCATCACAAAAGTGTGACCAGCAGGGTGAGGGAGGTGATTCTGCCCCTCTACTCCACTCTGGAGTGACCCCACCTGCAGTACTGGGTCTAGTTCTGTGGCCCCCAACCTAAGGACATGGAGCTGTTGGAGTGAGTCCAGAGAAGGGCCATGAAGATGATCAGAGGGCTGGAGCAGCTCTCCTGTGAAGACAGGCTGAGAGAGTTGGGGCTGTTCAGCCTGGAGAAGAGAAGGTTCTGGGAAGACCTCACAGAGGCCTTCCAGCACTTGAAGGGGCTTATAAGAAAGATGGGGACAGACTTTTTACAACAGCCTGTTGCAACAGGACAAGGGACAACAGTTTCAAGCTGAAAGAGGGTAGATTCAGATTGGACATTAGGAAAAAAAATTAAAGTGAGAGTGTTGGGACAGCGGCACAGGTTGCCTAGAGAAGCTGTGGATGTCCCATTTTTGGTACTCTTGTTCAAGGTCAGGTTGGACAAGGTTTTGAGCAGCCTGGTCTAGTACAAGCTGTCCTTGCCCTGGCAGGGGGTTGGACTAGTTGAGCTTTGAAAAGTGCCTTCCAACCTAAACCCTTCTGTGGTCTATGATGTAGTTGCTCTTTCACCCCACGTCACCCAGAAGCAGGATGTGCACCAGGCATTGGCTGATCTGTGCAGCCACCAACGTGTAAAGGAAACTCTCTCTATAGACTCTTCACCAGCAATTTACCTCTAGTGCTCCTTATATGGGGCAGCAGAGTTGTGGTGAGATGTTCTTTCACTTCACTGGCTCCTTGTAATTGATGGAAGATTACCAGGAACATGTTTTTGCAGGAAATATTTTCTAAGGCTAAACAACATTGGATGAAGGTGTGATAATAAATTACCAAGCATATCTCTTTGCAGCTACTCCAAATAATGAGCACTGGTTTGTCCTTCCTATGTGTTGTTTCCATAGAAGCAGAGCTTAACCTTTTAAGTGCAGATTATTAAGGCACCTAATTCAATTAAAATTAGACTTCAAGCATATCAGTGCTTAATGTTCAAGAGTTATTATGTGATTGGATATGGACATTGTTGTGATTGGCAGGCAGCATGGTTTCCATCTGAGGCAGCTGGAAAAACAGTATTGTGATGGCAACTTGGAGGGTTTTCCTATACATTTCCCTCCATAGTCCAGTAATTGGTAGGTAATTCCTCTGAAATCAGAGAATTATAGAATTGTTAGGGTTGGAAGAGACTTTAAAGATCACCTAGTCCCAACCTCCGTCATGGGCAGGGACACCTCCTGCTAGATCAGATTGCTCAGAGCCCCATCCAGCCTGGTCTTGAGAACTTCCAGGGATGGGACTTCCACCATCCCTCTGAGCAATCTCTTCAAGTGTCTCATCACTTCTTCCTAACATCTAATCTGAATCTACCCACCTCTAGTTTTGATCTATTCCCCCTAGTCCTGCCACTACCTGACATCCTAAAAAGTCCCTCACCAGCTTTCTTATAGGGCCCCTTAAGGTCCTGGAAGGCCACAATAAGGTCTCCTCAGTGCCTTCTCTTCTCCAGACTGAATAACCCCAACTCTCTCAAGTCTGTCTTCACAGCAGAGGTGCTCCAACCCTCTGATCGTCCTCATGGCCCTTCTTGGACATGTTCCAGCACGTCCACATCTTTCTTGTAATAGGGGCTCCAGAACTGGATGCAGTGCTCCAGATGGGGTCCCATCAGAGTGGAGTAGAGGGGGAGAATCACCTCCCCTGACCTGCTGGCTGTGCTTCTCTTGATGCAGCCCAGGATATGACTGGATTTCTGGGCTGCAGGTGCACACTGATGGGTCAGGTTGAGCTTCTTGGGAATCCAGCACAGAAGACAGGAACGCACATGGAATTAGTTATTTATTGTAGGTTTTCTTTTCTGAACTGACAAAGAGGGTTTCCCAGAGATTGATAACACGACACAATGTTATACACCATTTCACAACTAGTCCCTTGTCGCTTTATTAAGAACATAGTAATTTAAAAATATCTAAATATTTACATATTAATAAAACATATATACAGAAGATTGAGACATTTTTACCTAAATATGGAATGATTTTTTTTTCTTCTTCTCTCTAATAAAACCTATAAAAAGATTTCTGAAGAAAGTCTGAACAGTAGTCACAGTAAGTAAACACAAATGCAATCTTCCAAATTTACAAAACGCTGATTCCATTGCTGAAGGGTTACAAGATGGACAAGACAGACCAGTGTCCCCTGCCCAGTGCCAACTCTAAGCCACAAAGGAAGGAAAGACTCAAAATTTTCAGGTTTGCAGTGCACATTCGATCTATTCCACAGTTTCAGAGAGAGAACATAGTCATTCCTACAAGTCCATGGTAGGTGGGTGGGGAAGGGCTGGGAGCCTGGTTTCTCAGGTGCCAAGAGGTCAGACTGCTCCCATTGGCTCCTGTGGGCATTTGGCAATGCCTGAGAAAACAGGCTTTAGGATTGTTATGAAGAGAGCCATCTCTTGAGAGCCATCCCACTCTGTAATAGCACTTCTGTTGAGACACTCAAAGGCCAAATAGTTAAAAAAAAAAAAAAAAATGAGAAAAAGATGCACCTGAAATATACACGGGGAAACACAACGGTCAAGGCTCTAGCAAGCTCTCCCTCCAGTTGCAGGAAACACGCTCAGACTGCCTGGTGATCGACAGATGTTGCAGGTAAGACCTTTTGGACTTTTTCCTGACATTTTTAAAGTGAATTTAGTGCTGATGAAAGGTGCAGAAGTGAAAGTTTGCATGGGGGGCTGTGTACGATTTTACCTTAGCCCTGACCCGAAAGGACCAAGCCTTTCAATGTCTAAGAGGGTAGTGCAATTTCTTGATTGATTCACTCATCTTAGCTGCTGAGATATCAAGAGAGTGCCAGTCCAAAGATGACTTTTTTTTTTTTTTTTTTTAAACAGGTGAATGCTGTTGCCAAGGGCAGTGGTTGAAAATTCACAGCGTACAGAGCCTCTTCCTGGAAATGGGCAAACTAATACATTTTGAGATTGAGGTGGTGGGGCAAGCTGGGGTGGGCAAAGCAAGGGGAGAACAACCACCTCCAGTGATCTGCACTACAGAGATGCTTGAGAACCATCCCACTAGGAACACACAGGGGAAAATGAGGAATAGCTTCTTCTTGCTATAATTGGGAAACCGGGCACACTGCTGGGAGGAATCCTGCTTTATTTCCTGCTCAATCCAGCAAGGACTTTTTAATCACAGCTGCATAGGGCTGGGCATTGGTACCACAGCAGAAAGGAAAAGTGAATCTTCAGAAGCAAAGAGTTTTGCCAAGTCAAATGCTCATAGAGTCCCCAGGGTTCATAATGGAGAGAGATGCCACCCTGGTCCCCAGGACAGGAAGAGTCACCTGGCTGTGCGTATTCACCTCTGCCTGGCTTCAGACAAAACGCTGCTGGCAAGGATACAATCACATGGACAAACACAATCATGGAGGAATAACAAAGGCAAGAGAATGTCTTCAGAGTGGATACCCTGCCAATTCAATAATGCATTGGATATGGAGGGAAATAATTTTTAATTACAGTGAAGAACAGTGAAGCAATCTGGCGGTTTTGTTATTTGAGGTTACAGGGAAAATACATGAAACAACACAAACTTGAAGAGAAAGTGGTATGGCTGTCCATGTCTTGAGGAATACTGAAGTTCTCATGCCAATCCTTGAGGGAACATTATTAGAAGGAGAGGATGTTTCTATCCACTAAGAACACTGACGCAGGCTGGGAAATTCAAGCTGAAAAATCTGGGTTTGCATCTATCAGATGATCTGTTGTGGTGTCAAAAAGGTTACCTGAAGGAAGAAAAAGTTTGAAGAAATCCATTAAAAA